GCTCTTATAAATTTTTTGGCTCTTTTTTCAATTTTTAAGATTAGATATCTTTTTATTCTTAAAAAAGCTAAATAGAATGTTTCTGTTACCAGGATGTTGAAGCAAAGTAAAGTTATTACTTGTAGATGTTGCTACTGCAGGAAGTTAATAAAGTAGATGTTGCTACTTCAATCTTTTCTTCAGAAATAATTTCAGTTGTATCTTTAACTAAGTCTTTGGTGGTGGCAGCACTTGTTTTAGTTTGAACACACCCAAGCTCGATCAGAGGTCGGCATTAAGATAGGGTGCATTAAGATACGGTGCTAAGATAGGGTGTTGTTTTGAACAACTCAGAAGTGATTAACTAAACTCTCAATTAATCAAACTGAAAAACTCCAAATAAAGTAACAATTCCTAAAAATCATCATAAATTTTCAATAAACCTGAGGTTAAAAGTGTCTATATGTCTACATTCGTGTAAATTAAAAAAGCAATGAAATAAAAAGAGGTTTAGCATCATTTTGACGTAACGTTATTTCAATAATGATATATTACCCACAAGTTTTTTTTTTTGCATTAAAAGAATAGTATTATAGAGTAAAAGAAAGTTTATAAATAAAATCTTGGGACCTCTCCCATTTCTCATAATGGCTGATTTTTGAATGCTATATAAAACATTTTTTAATAGTTTGGTGACTCGTATGTTTTTTCGTTAGGATTTCTCCCTAAATTTTTTGAAACCATTAAAATTGCAACGAAATAACATTTTTAAAAACATTAAAACACTTTGCGGGAACCTTTTATGTTTTGAGATTTAATAACTTTAAGATAGGCCCCAATATTCTGAAATGCGTGATCTCAGCTTATGATTTTTAGACTAAAGAAGGGTTTTCTTCAATTTTTTAAACTATTTTTATGAAAGTTCTACCTATACTTCTCTAATATAAAAACAAACTTTAATTGAATTTTAAGTTTAAAAATCATAAAATCCCGAAAATGACTTTCCAAGGGATAAAAGATCAAAAGTGTGTACAAAAATAACTCAGCAACTACAAATATTTAATTACAGGTTTCTTTCATTCTAACCATAAAAGCAATGCTATATAAAAAATTGAGCGTGATTGAAGGATATCACATTTAGGCATTGCCTGATTTTTTCAGAAAATGATTCTTAAGCGCAAAATAGAAACCTATGCGTATAAAATTATGTTAACAATATTTAAAACTTCTAAGTGGTGTTTTAAAGTACAAGATATAAATATAACTTTTTCCCACCCATTTTTAAACTATATCTATATATATATATATATATATATATATATATATATATATATATATATATATATATATATATATATATATATATATATATATATATATATATATATATATATATATATATATATATATATATACATATATACATATATATATATATATATATATATATATATATATATATATATATATATATATATATATATATATATATATATATATATATATATATATATATATATGTATATATATATATATATATATATATATGTATATATATATATATATATATATATAGTATATATATATATATATATATATATATATATATATATATATATATATATATATATATATATATATATATATATATATATATATATATATATATACAAATATATATATATATATATTGCAAATTGAAATCAAAATCCAAGGATCTTTTTTGTAAAAATAGTGTTTGTACAGATCCTGATAACTCTTGCTTAGTAAATAGGATTAAAAAAATTTGGGATAATGCTGAGTTTGGCAAGAAATTTGTGATTTCTGGGTACAATATAAAGACCAAAATCATTAAACTTAATTTAAAATACAAGAAATTAATTAAATTGTCTTCTCTGAACTGGAACAGCAGCCTTAATAATCAATCAAAGTTAGAGAAAGATTTTTTCACAGAATCTTTTCAGCTTTTTGACATCTCCACTAAGAATTTAAAAAAAAAAATTCTTCCTGATAGATTGAGAACAGATGATGCCAAGCTGGAAGATATAAAGTAAGTTCTTTAAATAACACTTTTTTAGTAGTGAGATTTTTTTTCCGATTTAAATTTAAGTAACTTTAGTAATACCATATTATTTCCTTTAAAATATTTACGTTTAGCTCCTTCCATGGTTTGGCCATCTTCCAGAAAAAACTAGAACAATTATTAATTTATTTATAAATGTCTTAATAGAAATAACTATTTCTTAGTTTTTATGAAGACAAAAAGTTGGATAAGAAAGGATATATGGGAACAAACATTGACGACAACTACAGTAGGAGAGTACTGGATGCTAACAGGAGAAAAAACAAGCTAGATATGCTGAGAGAGAAAGAATTAGAGAGATAGAAAAACGTAAAAGATATCAATGATGTTTTGTTGTCACATGACTCCATGACAGAAGAGATTCAATTCAGCAGTGAAGAAGAAAAGCCAAACGAGGACTCTGAAATCAGCAAGGAAGAAGATTTCCTGGGTAACGGTCGGAAACGCAGGTATAGTATTATTTTAATAACATAGTTGTAATTTTCACAAGCTAAAACTGTTTTATTGAAAAGTATATAATTATAATTAGGTAGAAAAGTATTATAAAATGATATCTAGGTACAATTCTGGAGAGAGGATAAATCTAGCAGTGAATGTTGAAAAGCTCATTGAATGTACTGCTATTCCTGCAACAAGGTTCAATGTTGGTGTACGACCTCATCTGGCAATTTTAAGTAAAGTATTTAAAGCTGGAGGTGTAGAAATTAATGATACACCGCTTTCACAAAGTACACTTCATAAAAAAAAGTTCAAATATGTAGAACTTGAAGGAGACTTGGAGTGGATTTTAATAACTAATTATCTTAAAGGCCGACAGCTTATTCTTCATTTTGATACCAAACTGTTGGAACAAATTACCACTGGGCTTAATATTATTCAAAAAATTGAGCAACTTGCAGTCTCAGTGAGTTCCCCAGATGACGATACCATGGAAGACCATCTTTTAGTTGTTGTTCAATGTCCCTCTTCAAAGGAAGTTGACCAACCAGAACAAGTGCACAATCTTTTAGAATATTACGGATGTAAAGAGCAGATCATCGGTATATGCTGTGATACAACTGCAAGCAATACAGGTGGAGTCAATGGAGCAGTCCAAATTCTTACAGATATTTTGAAAATACCAATTTTGTGGATAATGTGTAGGAGACATATATGAAGTACATGTATCTCACTATATAATTGCTCTTACTGGTGAGAAAAATAAAGGTCCAAGAAGAGCTTTTTATATCAAGTTAAAGAACAAGTGACCTGAAATCTGTGAGAAAGTTAATAAAGCAAAATATTTATGTAAATTGGACTGGCAAAAAGATGATTTAAAGATTGGTTCTGTTCTTTGCACTGTTGCAGAGGAAGCTCAGAAATTTTTGACTAATGCAACTACTGATATGGTGTTTGCAAGGAATGATTATGGAAAAGTTTTTAAGCTTGCTTCCTTCAAACAAGATTTTAAGTTCCATCAACCTGGCGCCTGCTATGAGGCACGGTTTTTAGCAGATGCAATCTACATACTGACTCTTTTTATGACCAAAGATATCAGTAACATCTTGACAGATAAAGAAGTGCTGCAGTTGAAGGATGCAAGTTTGTTCATTGCAACTTGCTATATTCCATCGTTTTAAGAATACTGGAAATGCTTTGCTTTTCAGCATGGGACGCCATACGTGGTACTTAACTCCGCAACTCTGTATTTTGTCTTTTGGGGATAAAGAAGTTCCTTCTGAAACAAAGCTAAGAATGCTGTTAGCTCCGATTGAGTTTAAAGAGCCAAATGAATTTCAGCGTTGTAAACCATCAAATGTACATTTTGGATATACCACAGAGCTACCTTAGTTGATTTCCGAGCAAAGCTACCTTCTCTTTAAACATTTTAAAATATCAAGAGCAAGTATAAAAGAATGGCTCAATAATAGTCTTAATACTATAGATGCTTTTAATCATCCTCAGTTACTAGATTTTATTGCATGGATCAAAAACATATCTGTTGTAAACGATCGTACAAAAAAAACATTAAGCTCATTAAAGATTTTATTTCAGTTACTAGAGATGAAGATCATCTTCAAAATGTACTTTTTGTAGTTAAAAAGTCTAGAAAAAACTTGACTAAAAGTATGACTAAAAAGGAGCTTGTAACTGTTCAAAAAGTTGTATTTTTTGAGAAATGTTTCACCACAATAAAATCTTAAATTTGCTAATAAATATTAGTTTTCATGTATTTTTTTTTTTTTTTTTTTTGTATTTTCATATTTAAAAATATAATCTATCAAGTTAAATAGTAGAAAACAATTGGAAATGATTTATACGGATTTAATTGTTTTGTTTTAATTTTCTAAAATGTAAAAAAATTGTGTTTTCTATTAATGTTGAGCCAGTTTAACATTGAAACAGTAAAACTCAGATTTTACATTTATCATTTTTTTTAAATAAAACCGTCAAATTTTATTTAGTACTTATTTTGGTCACATAGAATGGGAATCAGTAGAGTGATTTTTTTTTTTTATGGGACACCCTAATATATATATATATATATATATATATATATATATATATATATATATATATATATATATATATATATATATATATATATATATATATATACATATATATATATATTTATATATATATATATATATATATATATATATATATATATATATATATATATATATACATATATATATATATATATATATATATATATATATATATATATATATACATATATGTATATATATATATATATATATATATATATATATATATATATATATATATATATATATATATATACATATATATATATATATATATATATATACATATATATATACTTATCTAAAGTTGAAATTTTTTAAATATTCACTAAAGGTTATCAAAAGTTTCTGAAACGGTTCTTAAAAGTTAAATTGCTGAAAAATCAAAGAATACCATAAAAAAATAACAAGAATGATGTATATATTTCTTTAAATGATTTTCTATTTTTATGGACTTCCAAACATAACAACGACGCTAGAATCATGCCCTCCTACAGTAAAGTTTTGGAAACTTGTAACGCCACTAAATTTCGAACGCAGACCACAGCCAAATCGTACTACATGTGTCATAACAAGCGGGAATTTGAACGAGTTAGCCACACCCCATGCTTTCTCTGCGCTAGCTTTAGCCTCTTTATTCTAAAGTAAAATAAAATGATTAATAATAGATTTAATCTTTTATTATTATATTATTCTATTTAGATATTATTATCTATTAGTATTTATATAGGTTTATAATGTGAAATAATGTAAAAAATTCATTAAAAATAATTTATATGCTGATAGATAATGGAAAAACTTACGAATCCATTAACGGAACGATGAACGGCAGCTGATATTTCATTTAATTTGGCTGTGGGTGGGAAAACAGAGTTTTTTTTAGCCCAACCAACCACAAGGTTTCTTTTGTGGGTTTTAATAAACTGGACATAAGTGCCAATAACTGAATGTGCTTCTGAACCAATCACTTCGTCATAAGCGTTAACTGTAAAGAAATAATTTGAATACAACCCTGTCAAGTAGCGGTGTAAAATATCTCGAAACTCGTCATTTGTTTTTGCGCTATTTAACATCATTTGACGTTCTACTTCAGCACGTAAAATATCGTCAAAGACAACTTTTTCTTCGCATGTTGTTCCTTGCCAGCCTCGAGGGCAAGAACACTGGTACGTGCAAGTAATATCAGTAATGTCTTTGCAGGTTCCTCCGTTTTTGCAAGGTAGTAACTGACATTTTGGAGTGCAACAAGTAAAACCAATTTTATTTGGGTTATTATTACAAACTTGCTGTCTTGGTATGCAGTTGTCATTCCAACCACAGCTATTTTGAGTTTGGGGATCACAACTTTTAATGCCAAGTTCTACTTTATTTTTCTCGCAGTAGTTGTAATATAAGGGTCCAAACCATTTTAATATGGCTTTGTAGTTAATACTAGGATGCTTATTCATGTGATCTGCGGTGAACAAATTTAGCAATGAGCTCAGTTCCATTTTAATTGGTGACGGTGATTCAAAATTTTGCTGTGACCATGAAACAAGGTCAGCAGCAGGTTTTGAACCGTAAGAAGTTACAGATTCTCTCTCAAAGCCATCAACAGTGTTACTACTTGCAGCGTTGTCTATGTCTTTGCAACTTTGCGAAGTGCGACCGTTTCCTATACCTGCTATTGTCAGTTTAAGACGATCTTCGTTGCATTTTTGGATTTGATCATCCGTACTTTTTTTAAACTCATCTTGGGAATAACGCCGAGAAACTGCTGTACGGGCACCCATAGTTGTCTAAAATAAAAATTTCTTATAGACTATGTTTTTAATTAAATATTTATATAATTTGCATCTGCAACATTTGACACAAGATTTAAAAAAAAATTTTTTACCTGGAGAAGGTAATGTGTACCAAATTCTCTAATAAAATCGTTTGCCACTAACTCTCTCTTTGACTCAATACTGTTGTTTAATTTAATCAAGCCATTTACAAAACCATCAGCAAAAGGCGGTGGATCAAAAGGGCTTATTCGAACAGTGTAAGTTGCACAGGTGGCATCGTGTACAGTTAAAACTCCTTAAAAAATATCAGATTAACTTTAAGTTTTGTTTTCATAGCTTTTATATTTATTTATTTTATTTTTTTAGAGTTACCTAAATAGATTTAAATAAAATAATTTTTTAATATAAAGTCTCTTTTTTTTTTCAGATTTTTTTACCTGAAATTTTTATTCACTATACTTTCCAGTTTTTTTTTGCTTTCTTTGTTTGTAACCGTCAAATATTTTATTTAAAACCTTAAAATATCTTATCTATATCCGTAAACGTAAAAATTTCATAAAACGAAATAATTCTAACTTTATATGGTTGGGTTTTATAAGCGCCAAAGTTTATTCAAATGAAATTTAAATACTTTTTATAAGTTTTTAACTTTTAAAAAAAAAAACTTTTTTTTTCCAAAAATCATTTCTCTCAATTTTTGAGGCGAGGAAAAAAGATAGAAGTTGAAAAAAAAAAAAAGAAAAATTAAACATCTTTTTTCTTTAAAAGCAATAAAAGAGGATGGGTAGGAGTGAGCCAAGGGTAGGAGTGAATCGTTGATCCTACAGCTAAAACGGAAAATGAAAAAGACTCAAGATTTTCACCAAGTAGTTACATACAAATTGTTGTTAACACAATCCAATTTTTTTACCGCTTTTTGGTGCGGGTGTCTGCGTTTACGTTGTCATCCACTCTTTTCTGTCCAATAGTAAATTTTTTGTATTTTTTGAAACTTCTTCAACGAGCATACCGGTTGTTTCCAGACACAAATTAGTGGTTCAAAATTTAATAATAAACAGTGTCGTTTTTAGAATGAACCATTTCTTCACGGGAAGGAGTGAACCGCGGCTCACTAATACTTCTTGTTAAAAAAGTTTTGACATCAGCGTAAAAATATATTTACGTTTGACTTTTATATCTTAGTATGTCATTAAAAAACTCGTGTACAACATTAGATTTATTTTTACAATTTGTTATAATGCCTCGAGTCTATAAAAGAACAACTTTGAAAGCAAAAACTTCTAGAAAAGATATGAAAGATGCATTACATTTAATCTAAAAAGGAAAAAGTAGTAAAGAAACTGTAATAACTTCCAAAGTATTGTTACCTCGACCAACTTTTTCTAGAACAGGTAAAAGGCAGCATTGCAATTACAAATTTGATTTTGTTGCTTACTTAATTTTCAATAAATTAGTTAAAGAAAATATCTAATTTTAGTTTTTTGGTAATCAAAGATAATGGCTCATTCCTACCATTTGCTTGGTTCACTCCTACCCATGCATGGGTAGGAATGAATCAGTAGCAACACATGCGTTATTGTTTAAGTTATTATAAATCTTAATTTATTTTGATATTTCATGTATTACTATTAGAAACCTAATACTTAAGGCTACCTTAGGCTCCTTATCCTATACTTTTTCCATTTTTGGTTTCCTTGATATAATAAATTTAAAAAAAAGTGGCTCTTTCCTACCCATCCTCCCTTAATATTTATTTTTTTAAATTCATACTTTTAATAAAAACATATAATTCTGTTATATTTTTTTTTTTTCTTTATTTAAAGTATATTAAGTAAACAGTAACGGTACTAAAAGGAGTTTGTATTTTACGATTTTTATAAGCTATGTAACAAAACGGGGAGAAACATTTTACGAGGCTTGATAATAACTCAAAGTTATAGACCTCTTTTTGCCCCCGTTATGTAAATTTTTTATTTATGTATTTTGTTAATCCAATTTTCTTGCAACTCCTTTTTTATCAATATATATATATATATATATAAATATATATATATATATTACTCTTATAAAGTTTACATTGCATGTCAACTTAAGATAAGGAAATACTTATAGATAATAGGAAGATGGCGTTGATGAGTTTGAGAGATGAACTTCAACTGTTTGAGTTCAAATAGTGCTTTTAGATTTTGACGAATCTTTTTGTTATTGTTGAACTCGGTATACTTTTATTTCGTTGTTAAAAAATCAAAAGGTCAACCATGTTTATAACAATCTTTAGAGATCTCAGTTCTTCATAAATAAGAATTGCCAGAGTATCAATAATCTAATTTCATGAAGGAACATGCTTTGTTTAACAGCATCGACAGGTCAGTACAAAAAACAACATCTTTATTGACATATTTTGACTTCGTAAAACCTAGCCAAGTAGTTTGACCTGCTTATAAGATCAGGATTGTTGATGTCCTTTATTACGAATCTCTTAAATTTTTTTCATATCATTTGTTTTATCTTTAAGATTGCGCAAAAATTTTAAGCTGTTGTTTTTATGTTGCTAGGGTGACAAAGATTAACTATTAGCTAACTAAGACAGTATTCTTAGTATAATGAATATCTTTTTTTTTTTTTTTAATGTTGATTTTAGGTGCCCTAAAAAGTCCTTACGGTCTTATCACAGAGCACCGCGGAAGAGCATTTAACAGTAAGTTCACGCCTCCTTCCCAACCGATGTCGCAAAATTTGCCCAGAGGTGGGGTTTGAACCACGGATCTTACGTTTCTGAGGCAAGTGCGCTACCACTACGCCACAGCTGCTTAAATATCTATTTTTAATGGAATCTTGTCTGATTCTTTATAAGTGAATTCATAAGTAAAAGATAGAGTTTATAAATATTGCATCTTAGATAGAGTTTATAATTAGCATCCTGCCCTTGGCAGCAAACAGCACAAAAACATTTGTATTTTTTTTATTTTTTCTAACATTTAAACTTTACGACAACTTTATATTTCAATTTAAAGAGAAATATTTAATCAAGAGTTTTTACTGAAAATCTTTCTTCTTAAATATAGGTTTGTCTTTTCAGTTTCTAAAAATTTCGTTCAGATCATAACTTATGTCTAAAAGTGAATTTATTTATTTAAAAGTAAATTCAGGGTCTACAATTATCTTTACAAATTAAGTCAATGAACTATCTTTTATCAAATAATACAACAGAAACAGATATGCATCCTAACTTATAAATGATGCCTTAGTTTTTACAAACTCATTTTAAAACAAAACTTTTTCTATATTAGATTAGAATAAATTTTTTTATTAGATTACATTTTAAATTCTATAAATCACTGAAAAATTTATTTAATATAAAAGACAATTCATACAGTTTGCTTAAACTGATTTATGAAAAAAAAAACGTATTTACGCAATGAGTCTCTGAATAAAAAAAAAATTTAGTTTAAGCATGGAAGTTCCATGAACTTTCATGGTTTAAGCTACACTTAAAAATATAGTTTATATGCAGTGGCTAGGCTCATTTAGGGGGACCATTTACAAAATTAGGGGTCCTTTTGAAAATGTAGGGAGCTTTTTTTTTACTTTAGATGAAACCTTATGGAAAAATGTTGAGGAGATTGGGGCTCAGATTTTGTGGAAAGCCTTGGACCCAGTAGCCACGGCTTTGTTTATATGCTACGCTTTTGTAAAATACGTTCTAGATATGGCTTGGTGATTGTTTCCAGAGATAAATTATAAAATATATGAAACATAAACAGGAGCAGCCGTGGCGTAGTGGTTAGAGTTCTGGCTCAAAACTCAGAGGTTCGAGGTTCGACGCCAGCTCTAGCCCAACAAGCGACATTGGTACGGAAGAAGGCGTGAACTTCTTATTAAATGCTCTACCGCGGTGCTCTATGATAAGACCGTAAGGACTTCTGGGAGCACCTAAATACATACAAAAAAAATAAATAAAATGCTCTACATATTTAAGAAAATCAAATCAAAGCAATCTAAACTAAACTAATGCAAATAATAAGTAAAAAAGAATGCAAAAAAAAATTTTTATAAAAAATTTCAAAAAGAGCATAAAACTGTAAAATGGGGGAATAAAGAGTTAAAAATCCAAATTTTTTTGCTACATTATTATAAATAAACATAAATGGCAGCTGTATCACAAATATTTTTTTGATATTTTATGTTTTTATTCGAGCTTTTACAACGCTTTCGTTTTGTGTTATCCTATTGGCAATACAAATTTATTCTACAACATTAAAAGTACATTTTTAGTCACTAAGGCGCAACTTTTAATTGCAAATAAGCTAAGTATAAAAAAGTTACCTCTTTTTTGGATAAAAAAAATTTCATTGTTCTTATATTCTTTACTTGAAGAAAATGCAGATTCAATTAGAGGTGGAATTGTTGTTTTAACACCAACGCCTTTAAGTTCAGCGCTAACTTCAAATTGGAGGTTCGAAGTAAAACTAGATCCTTGGGATGATTTTGCACCAATTTTTTTAGCATAATCCTCAACTGTGGTAATAATGTCTGAGCTTGAGGAAAGACTACATTGAACTCCCTATGAAAATGATATTAAAGCAACATTATTAAAACAAATTAAATAAAGAAAAAGACATTTTTATCTGTTTTAACATTTATGCATTTTAAAGTGCACTTTAAAATGAGGAGCCACATTATTCGACAAATGTTTAAATATTTAGTAGTATTTAAAGAAATTCGAATTCTAAAAGTGTTTGCAATATTAAAAAAAATAAATTATGTTTACTATATATATTATAGACGTAATTCACTCTTAGAACGTCGAACAAACGTCTGTGCTCTTCTAGTCGACAAGAAAAATATTGTTAAGTAATATTCGAAAAATAGTGCTTAATTCTCTAAGCCCAACAAATACATGGAGTTTTTTCGACGTATTTTTGACGTGTTTCAACGTAAAAAGTACGACAAAAAAATGTTAATTGTTTGTTAAGTAAAAAGTAATTAAAGTTTTTTCAACAAATTTTATTTAAAATTAAACTTTTTTTATAAAAAAAACATATGTTTACTCTATCCCCGCACAACGGTCTGCGCATTTTCGAAACGCTATATTTTTATTATTTACTAATAAGTTATAATTTAAATAATACTAATAAGTCATAAATTAAAAAAAAAAAATAAATAAATAAAAAATTTAATTTTACTTGTCGCACTGTAACTCCACCATGAAGTGCATATGCTCCTGATGAGGTTTTGTATGTGGGGACAAAAATATAGCCTGTTGAAAAACCAGGATCATGTAGTGCACTAGATGTAAATGGGTTTCCTTGTAAAATATTATAACCAGTCATAATGGAACCTATATTAGGATATGGCTCATGATTAGGATTGCACCACTCAGCTTTGCAATATGGAGCGGCTATAGTGCTACTAGGACGTTCCACCAGCATAAACATCAATGAAAGCATCAATGGAAACATTTTTATTTTTCACCAAAAATATCAGTTCTGTGATTTGTATTTTGGATATATACAATTTATTATGGATTTACTAAATATCATCACATTTTATAGTAGATATAAAAAATTTGGTTTTACAAAAAAGACTCATAATCATATAGATACATTAATATATTGGTATAGAAAAAATTCATTTTCGATAATAAAATATTTTTTATAGTTGTGTTACATAACGTTATAGAGGTAGGTATAAATAAAATGCATGAATGTTTGTTTAGCTAGATATATATTAAAGCGTAGGTGTATTTAATTAGCTGAGTAAGCAAATTTTTTTAAAAAAAACTAGTTCGTTCTTTATTATAAAAGCATATTTTATAAAAGATATTTAATTTTTAGCCTACTTTAGTTGTTTAATTAAATACAGCTGCGTATCTTCTAAAACCTAAAATATTGGCAGCACTCTAGAAGCGTCTAAAAGTGCGCAGTAAAAAAAAAAAATTAATTAATTTAATTAAAACAAAAAAGTGACTTATCACTTTTTTGTTTTAATTAATGACATTTTTACATGTTTTACAAGTAAAAATGTCATTAGGTTTAAAAAAGTAGCAATTGTGTGGCAACCAATAAAAAAAATAAAAGTGGTAAAAAGAACAAAAAAAAAAAATGGTAGTCTACAAACTTTAATCAAACTTACAATTAAATTGTTACTCGTCATTCAATTAAGTCTCATCCTTTTTCTGTTACTATTCCTAAGTGCTCTAAAAACTCTTATTCGTCTAGTTTTTTTTTCTCGAACATTAGTTCTTTAGAATTCGCTTTCTTCATCTTGCTTTCCTGGTTCATATAATTTGAAATCTTTTAAGTAGTCTGTCAATCGTTATCTTGTTCTATAATCTTCATCTTTTCTCTTCCAGTAGCTTCCACATTAATTAGTGGTTGCTTGCAGCCTTGTAGGAGTTTTCATTGTTGTTATTTTTGGAAAGAATAAGGTTATTTTCTTAAAAAAATAAAATAAAAAATGACATAAAACAAGCTTAAAAGTTATACATCAAAGAAGATAAAGTGGGATGCCTTGGTTTGTCTTGGTCTGCAATATGTAAATTATAAATATTAGTGAACAGTAAGCCAAGTATAGGATCTATACAATAGATCCTTGTAAAACACCGCCTTTTATATTCTTTTTTATAGATAAGAACTTTAACTGTACACAAACTGTTTACGATTATTTTTATGATTATTAATCATAAAAATATTATTAATGTTTTATGATATTTCAAATATTGATAAAATTAATTTTACCAATATTTGAAATTTTATTAAACATTCAGATTGTATTCAGCGATGAATCTACCTTTGAGATTTTAGATGACAACCCCGAATTCGACCATGGCAGACCAAGAGAAAAACAAAAGCCGCATTTATAATGGTTTGGTCATGCATATCGAGCAGGGATACCGGTCAACTTTACATTTTACAAGAGACTATGAAACAAAATCAGTACAAGACTCTCCTAGAGACTACCCTGATTCGACAGATTCGAGAGTGGTTTCTTAATGGTGTAAAAATAGTTTTTATGAAAGATGATGCTCCACGCCATACTGGAAAATCCATAAAAACATTTCTCTCTAATATGAGTATCAAGCTTCTTGATTGGGATGGAATTTCTCCAAAAATTAACACTAAAAAAATTCTGTGGGAGCTTGTCAAACGCAGTTTTATGTCAGTACTGACATAAAAACAAGTAAACAAAAGCTCACATGACGACTCATTGAAGTATGGCTTCAGGTGTAAAGCATGGACTTCAGAGTGCATAAATAGTATGCCAAGGCGTATAAAAGCTCTTTTAGAGTCAAAAGGAATCACTATTTAGTATTAAGTTTCATAATATGCTTGATATGTATCAATATATAGATTGTATAACAAATATCTACTGTGCAAAAAAAGTAGGTGAATTAAAATTAATTACATATTTTATTAAAAGTACAAACAATAATAATCAAAAATTTACATATGATTTATTGATCTTTGTATATCTTTTATTTGCTGCTATTGCTGCACATTTTGACATGATATCAATTAATTTTTGGCATCTACTCATTGGAATGTTTTTTCAAATGTATTGAATGTTTTTTCAAAGTTAATCTTTATTTTTGGTCTTAGAAAGTTTTCCTAACTCATTTTTTACGTGTGCCCATAGATTTTTTTTTGGATTTATGTCCGGTGATTGGGTTGGCCATTAGGGTACATCATACTTCCATAATGTACGAAATTTTTGATTTTTAATTTGTAGGATAGTTTTTATGGTGCCACTATACGTGAATAATGGCTATGAGAAAAATTTTTTTTTTACCTATGTGGGATTGCAGTTTTCGGAAAGGAAAAACTGATCTTTTTCGCATAAATGCAAGAGGGTTAAATTTTTTAAATTATTGAAATCTGAAACTATTTAGATTTTTATTTATATAATGCCATATGCTATGAAACGTGAATAATTTTTTTTGGAAAAAGATATATATTAGTGGGGTAAGAGGTAAATAAGGCATACAAATTTAAAACAATCAGACTTTCATTATTTGAATGACGTCGTTTTAAGGTCAGACATTATAACTATAATAATTACTTAAAATTAGATGATTTAAAGGGCAACCCATGAGTCCTTAGGATTTTTGAAGGGGGATTGTACAAACAACATTGCAAATTCAGGAAAAGATGTAGGTTTTCTATCAAATCTGATACAATTAACCAGGAGGCAATTGTTCTGGTCTGTTTACATCCTGCATTGTAATAAATTACCATTGAGGCATATAACCAGGACCGTTGAGAGAGAGGGTAAAAGAGGGCATACGTGCTAAGGTAAAAGGGTCGCCAGAATTCAAAAGACAAAATATATTTTTTGAGAAAGTTTTAACTTTTTTTGCTTTTTGTGTTGTCTAAACAGTGTCTTTACAGAATCTTAAATCGTTAATTATTAGTTTTTGTAAAAAATTTCAGTTTATGAAGCAACTTATATTATTGTTCAAGATGTTTAAAAAAAAATCATATATACTTTTCTATTAATAAAATTTCATAAATTAATTAGTTTCATTAACCTAATGTTTATAAACTACGTAACTTTATTTCATAAATACTAAAAATGAAAAAAAAAACTATTTCATGAATGATTATTCTAAAAATCTTAATGAAAGATTATTATTTATTGTTGAAATTTTTACACTCCGTGGAGAGTAGTTAAACTTTAGCAAATAAAGTTAACCCGACAAAAAATTTGAAGTGGGTAACATTACACACACTCATAAATTGAGTGTGGCTTTTATATGATAGCCACACTCGATTTATGGGACGGCGTATATGTGAGTTATTTTATCTTATGGTATTTATACACATAGGTTATAATTTGTTCGCTACTTATATTTTATAAATACCATAATCATACACGGTACACATCTACGCCATGCCATAAATATCGAGTGTGGCTACCACATGTGATGCGTATCAAATTTTCTTGTCGGCAACTCTATAAAAAAAGGTTTTTTAAAAAAAATTTCAGTGTAAATGATACATCAAACCTATAGGTTTTAGATATCTTGATGTATACATCAAGCTAGTCTAGTCAGTACAAATTACCTTTTAGGCTGATGCGGTTAAAATAAAACACACAGCGGGCGCTCGGAAACGTCCATATGACGTCGAAAGGACGTCTTTTTAGGACGTCCGGAACTGGTTCTAAATGGCAACGCCAGATGACGTCTTTTTAAGACGTAATTAGAACGTCTTTTTAGGACGGAATAAAGACGTGTTTTGAGACGTCTAAAAGACGTGAATTTAGGACGTTCAGAACTAGTGCTAAATGGAAACGCCGAATGACGTCTTTAAATAACCTAATTTAGACGTTCTTATTTCGACGTCTAAAATACGTGTTCTAAAATGGCTTTACTTAAACGTAAGGTTCAAATTTATGTTTTTACAGAACTTCTTGAGAATAAGAAAAAAATAATAAATCATTTAAATTTTTTAATAATATAATTGTGCTGAGTTTTATAAATTACAACTTTGTAAACTTCTTCTTCCACTTGTTAATTTCCAAGAATCGAATTTTCGAACAGTTGACGTCATTCACTTTCTTTTCGATCAGATGCACTCTTTAAAATATTGCCACAAGCATTTTAAAGTTTTTTTTTTGCTGTAGGAATCAGGAAAGCAGTCTTAACCTTAAAAAAATATTGTTAAGATAAGTATGTAAAAATAAAGGGTATGTAAAGATAAGTATGTAAAAATAATTTTATAAACATAACATGAAACATCAAAAAATAAGAATTTCTCACACTAAATGTATTTTTTTAAAGAAATTTTTGACTGGATTGTTGTGACCAGCGTATATATTTATGTATATCAAGTATGCAATATAATTGCGGTATTAAAAATGCTCTATTTATAGTAAAATTATACTTACTTTGAAAGCATGCCCTTCTCAAATGCACTGCATGATGAGCCACCAACATTTAATAACTTCTATTTCTAAATTCAAAAGATAACACTAGTGTAATTGATATGGGACAATTTAGTGTAAGTTATATTGGGCATAGGAGCAATTCATAAGTGTTTTATTCAATTCAAAAATTTTGTGTAAATTATGTTTACTTGTAAAGTGAGCATTATGTATATAATTACAGATCAAAATTTTTTATGTAATTTATCCTTATAAAAAAAAACTAAACATTTAACCATAATAAAAAATATACTACTTTTTGCAACATTAGTATCGAGAAATGATTGATCACATTCAAGAAACTTGGCGATAGAATCATATTAGTAAAGATCAAAACTATTCTTAACTTTAAACGTTTTTTATATTTCATTATTCTTAAGATAATTAAGTAAATGAATTAAAGACTATATATTATAATTTATATATATATAAATTATAATAGAAAAAATATATATTACAACTTCGCTTCCAACAAGGCTGCGAACAACCACTATAAGAGTTTGGAAGTTATTGGAAGAGAAAAGATTAAGTTCGTAGAGCAAGATAACGATTGACAGATGACTTAAAAGATTGCAAATTATATGAATCAGGAAAGCAAGATGAAGGAAGAAAATTCCTAAGAACTGATGTTCGAAGAAAAAAACTAGCTTTAGAGCAGTGCCAATTATAGTATTTGTAGAAAAGAGAAAAAGAAGCAACATCACGACGATGTGACAATGG